ACTTGTTTTAAACTGTCTCAACTATCAATTATCGAACAAAGATCCAATTCCAAAAACCATGCAAAACCAAATTAAGAACTCAAAGAAAATGAAAAAATTCATTTAACTAAATTGCATAAATATATTAGGGTTAAAGAATACGCGAAAATCGACGTTATATTGTAAAGAAGGGAACTTACACAGGGAGATAATTATATATGTATGTATGATCTTTACTCGATTTATTTGATTCATTCGTTAAAAATCAAGCTTGCAAAAGGCTCAAGCAAAAGTGATCGCGAATTTGTCTTTAACGCATGCGTTGCTTTGCCCGAACAATCAGTTGCAATTTTCTTTTTTTAATTTGTATATTTGTGCCATCCATTTGGCATACCTCAGAAAATAAAATTTTTTTCTTAAAATATTTTGCTTTAAAGCAAAAGATGGCCTTCATTTGCGTCGAGTTGCTTTATTAAAAAAGAAGCAAATTCGCCCAACTCGTGGTAGTTTTCTATTATTGCTTACCTTTAGCATTCAATTAGCTCTCTTCCCTAAATTTATCCCAAAAATGTTCTCATTTCAGCCGAACTATGCTTGCTTAATTTTACATTACTGGTTAATATACACACCTTCAACGTCCAAATAAAATTCTATTCAAATAAATTTTTTCTGATATAATTTTTGTGGAATGCTCGTAGATTCGATGGAATATCCCGAGCAAAGCCGCTGAAGGTAGCGCCTTGTCTCTCTGACATTACAACGACAACAAGCAATATAAATTTACAAACGAATATATTTAATAAATTTACTAGAACTCCATGGTTTGCCAAAATTCGATGCCAGGCTACGTGGCCTGTTAAAAAGCCAAAACAGTTATTGTGACGCTGGACCAAAAGATAAACCAATCTTGCTATTTATAGGTGAATTTTTTCAGCAGAAAGAAAAATTTCTACAATAATAAATCTCTCTTTCCGATTCGATAAACTGGTGGCATGTGTCTTCGTCTCGCTTCTGGCATGGGGAATACCGCGGTGCTATGGCTGGAGCTGCTGTGGTAGTCTCTGCTATGCGCAAGATCTTTTAGAATGCTGATAAGTATATTGAAGCGATTTCGAAATTTGCTAAAACTCTTGGTTTCGTATCGTTGGTCTTGCCGTTCTTAAACACTGAAAATTATACAGAATGGTTTGTGGGTTTATTTTTTTTAAATTGAAATAATTGAGAATTGGTTGCAATTCTCTTTTCGATGGATTTGGGAGATTTGCAAACGCTTTATTTTTTACTTTCATTATTTATTTTATTTTCTTACCTCAAATAACGGGAGTCATCCATCCTACTAAGGACGGGAATAATAAATATTGAAATTTTGTTGTTCGTTATGGCTACGATGTTAGCCATAACCCAGAATGATCGAAAATGCAAATAGCTTTTTCAAAATATATATAAGTAAATGTTACGTTAAACTCTGAGGTATTTATTTTTTTAATGAAAAGATTTTAAAATTTCAATGATTTATAAGAAAGAGCCACAGTGAAAATCATTACAGTGTATTTGTAGACACGTATGTATTCGTGCATTTATATTTACCCAAAAACTGACAGAATCAAGAGAACAACATTTTTGAATCGAAATTGCAGATTTTCAATTAGTTGTTGTCTTTAGATAGCTATTTGAAACTTCACATAACCTCTTTATATATCCAACGATTCTACTTTTGGTTCGATTTCATCAATACGTAGATTGTTTTTTCGTAATCATGGATGAGACAACGAGCCGAATTAGCATTTTTCTTTTACTTACCGCGAAAAGATTGGCCAGGGCGTTTTAGAGACCAATATCGTATACGCAAAGTTATGACATCGTTTTCGTCAGAGGGTGCTAATCACACCCATAATAAATACATGATGGATCTCCGCTACATATATGACAAATTTATTACATCACTTGGGCAAGAAACATGACGATTTCCTCTATTTTAGTTGCTAATGTAGTCTTCTTACTGCTTCATAAAGCCTCACACATATTAGTTGCTTGCGTTTCAAAATTATTTTAACCCACATTAAACTAGTAGCAAATTAATTTATCTTCTTGTAAGCGTTCAGTGCGTATATAAAGGGGGGAGAAGGGCATATAGAAGTAAACATGAGAGCACTTACAATTTTTTAAAAGTTTTCTGATAAAACTTTAGCAAAATGAACAATATTATATTTATTCCCCGCATTCTTTTCACATACTAATATAAAAAAAACCGACAAAATTACTGCCATTGAATTCCATTCATTTAAAAACTGAAAATCAAAACAAACTTTTATTAAAATAACGATATTAATGTATAGCTACGTACAAAATCCAAAAAGTACAAGTGTTTTCTCCAATATAAAACTAATATTTATTGGTAGTACAGCTCTAAATTCATTCCATCGTGAATCTCATCTGCAAAAAATGTAAGCCTATGAACATGCAATGTATAAAAAAACAAGAAATTATTTTCTTACAGTCCGATAACTTAATTGGATCCTTATAGATAGTGTACCATTTTTTGAGAACAATTTTATCATATCTAGTCCCAGTCTGTGCAGCAATCAATTTCTTCAGATCACCAATAGTATCATCAGGATTGCATTTTACGCGAACCTAAAATAAAATTGTAATTAATAACAATATCCAAGTTTGTCGTGACGTTTGTTTGGAGAGGAAAAATGCAAAAATCAAATACAGCGTTAATGGATGGAATGTTACCTTTTTACCCAAACGGTCGTTACAAGTAATTTCAATCATGTTTTTAGATTTTTTTCCACTTTGTTTAACATCACACCAACTCAAATACTTCGATAAGTGAAAAGCAACAAATGTTTCACTGCATGCAAAACAAGAGATTAAAGCCCCAGTTGTAAAATTTCGTACTTACCGAATAGCGAAAGCATAAATTGATTGTTTTCATCTAACAACTCTAGCTTTGCACAACTGATACGCTGCAGTGAATTGTCCGCTTTGCTTTACGAAAATTGGTTACGAGCAGCAATACGATTTTTCCACGAAAGAATACTTAATTAGATTTAAACTTACATACTTCAATTTAAATTAAACAATAAGATTCTTCAGCGGTTCACATGAAGTACATAGACAATTGATCTGATATCTTAAAAATCCTACCATGAATTATATCTAAATCAGTATGAAGAAGTTTTAGGAGATCGAAGTTATATACGTATTTATTTCATTCTTTCGCTCTTTTTTATATAAATTATCAGCTTCGAAAAGCTATTGTTATTATTTTTTCATTTGACTTTAACAAAAAAATTGCTAAATTTCTAATCGGTATACTGCCGATCTGCTGTTAATGCTAAAATTAGTAGAGTTGTCCGATGTTAGTTGGGTGGAAAATATAATTTATTTGCAACTAGCTTAAGCCACGTTATGGTTAACGATCGATGCTGAAAAATGCAACTGTGACGCGAGAGAAATTCCTACTATTATTGATTATTACTACATTTTTCTCCTAAAACAGCAACACTATTTGTTAAAAGAAAAACAAACATTATTTAAGAAATAAAACAAAAATCAATCAGAATCGCTTTGATAATTTGTCGACGGATAGTTTAACCCAAATGTCGATAATACCATTTTTTCCGTCATTAAAGCCACCAATAGCTAATTGCATATGGTTTGACGGCGCTCCAATTAATGAAGAAGCCGAAATTCTTAAATATGAACGAGAACATCATACATGGGTAGTAGGACTTTCCGTTTAAGACGAATACATTAGCGCGTTAATCCGTTCATTCCTAAAATTCCCAAATATATAAACATATATGTATACCTATATTTATCCAAAATAGTTTTTTAACGTTCATTTTAGCTAGAGAATGTGAAAAATACGGCTTCAGATATACATCCGCTAGGAAAGGTATTAACCATGATTGGCACAGAAACTGATGACGAAGACGGTGAGTTTTTGAATAAGAATAATTTATTTGTGGAAATACAAAGAATTTTTCATATTTTAGCGAATGACGATAGCGATGAATCCGACAGTCACGAAGATGAGGACGATGACACAATTGATCGAGCCATACCAGGCATAGTAGAGAGATCTGCTCTCGGTTCATATTCACCCGGCGACGAGATTAACTTGAATGACGATCTATCCGCTGCTGTGGTCGGATCTTAATAATGAACATATATACTATAATAATAACTAAATTGAATACACAATTAACGCACTTATGTTGACCATTTAAATTGTATTTCTAGAAAACAGAGTGCAAAAACCTTATGTTTATTACAAAAGAAAGTATTGTTATTGAGATTTACGTGCGACCCAATAAAGATAGCTTTACACATAAAAACTACAGAAAAGGATAAGAATCCTAACAATTATCAACAAGATTTTCAATAAGATTCTCAGAGAATCTACACGAAATACTTTTATAAAAAAGAATATGAAACAAATGTGGAAACGTTTATCATACTCTCCGAATTCATCGAGATATTGACGAATGCGGTCAAACCGAATGCAATGGCATCTACGGTCAAAGCAGACTTGTTTTAAACTGTCTCAACTATCAATTATCGAACAAAGATCCAA